CTATCAGTGGTTATTAAGATAATACATTTTCTGTAGATATGTATCATTTTCTTAAAGAAGGAAGTGACTTTATGAGTATCCTTAGGCACAAAGAAAACAACCTTCTCTGACTGCTCCAGAAGAAATCCCCAATTTCCATGGGTCACATCAGTATTTCTTAAAAAGGAGAACAATATCTGTCTTGGAAAGTATAAGCTTCAAACTCAAAGACAAATGCTTGTCCCCTGAATGTTTTAATGCCTCATTTGGTTTAAAAAGCAATTCCACAGTAAAGTGTGCATTTAGAGTTTTCAAAATCTTTTCTTTATGAAAAACAACACAGCTGGCAAACAGCTACTTGTCAATGGTGGGGTTATGGGTGAGTGAGGAAGGAAGCCTAAGCAAAACTAAGGGCCAACATTTCCAGCATTCCCTGCAAGAAAGCATAATTTTTTTTCTGAGATGGCATATAGCTTTTTAAATTATTATTATTGCACTTCATTGTTTTTCCTTTTTTGTATGCATTTAAGTCTCCTTAAATCTGGGAGTTTATGGAGGAGACTAAACCCCAAACCTGTCATGTTTGGCCTACACAATATTTGTTGTTGATTCTAGTTGAGTGTCCATCTAATCTATTTATGTTTAATGCTTTTAGAAAGTTGAGTTTTTCAGTTATATTGACTCTACCATACTCTCATCTCCTATGCCTGGTACAATTCATTCACTGATGTTACTTGCTTGGATCTTGTAGGCATTTGATCTTGTTATCTTTGCCTTAATCCTTTTGGGGGAAGGGTGACATAAAAATTGACAGATTATAATGAGCACAGTTATCCAGCTAGCTATTCATTTGTATGTAGAACCTGTTTATAGTATTTATTTAAATATATTCCAAATCTATTTTGTTTTCATTTTTAAGATGAGTGTTTTAGCTTTCTTGCCAGTAATGGGGGTTTCTTTCAGGTTTACAGGGAGAAATGAGAAAGCCTGAGGCGCTTGGAACATTTCTCTGATTTCCTCTTTTTAATCTGTGACTGCTGGGGAGTCAGTGTTCCTGTTTCTGTATACCTCTATTAACCATCTACTTCGGGAGTCTAAAGTTCACACTCCCTGAGATAGAGAACCCAGTATGGAGGCCTAGGCCTGCTCACAAAGTTTGCCTATGAGTTAGGATCCTGTCTGTCCAAGAATTCACTGGGGAGAGCTGCAGTGTGACAAGTCTCTGCATGGCAACTGTGCATAAGAAACTACCCTTGGCTACTTGCTCAAAATAGAGCTTCTGGGGGCAGACATTTAGAATCTGTTTTAGTCTGTTTTGCATTGCTATAAGGAAATACCAGGCCGGGTGTGGTGGCTCACACCAGCACTTTGGGAGACCAAGGCAGGAAGATTGCTTGAGCCCAGGAGTTCAAGACCAGCCTAGGCAACCTACTGAGCTCTTGTCTCTACAGATGCACACCTATAGTCCTAGCTACTTGAGAGGCTGAGGTGGAAGGATCACCTGAGCCCAGGAAGTTGAGGCTGCCGTGAACCATAAGTGTTGTGATTATGCCACTGCACTCCAGCCCCGGTGACAGAGTGAGACCCTGATTCTAAAAAAAAAAAAAAAAAAAAAAAAAAAGATAAAGAAAGAAATACCTGAGGCAGGTAATTTATAAAGAAAAGAGGTTTATTTTGGCTCACAGTTCTGCAGACTGTACAAGAAAGCATAGTGCTGGTATCTACTTCTGGTGAGGTCTCAGGAAACTTATGATCAAGGCTGAAGGGGAAAATTAGCAGGTGTGTCATGCAGTAAGAGAGGAAGCAAAAAAGAGAGGAGGAAGGTGCCAGGCTCTTTGAAACAACCAGCTGTCACAAGAATAGAGCAAAAAACTCACCCGTTACCACGGATGTGATACCAAGTCATTCATGAATGACCTTCCCCCATGACCCAAACACGTCCCACTAGGCTTCACCTCCAACACTGGGGATCACATCTTAACACCAGGTTTGGTGGGGACAACATCCCAACTATATCAGAATCAGACAACTGGTACAGAGGATAACTGAATTCATTTGTGGTTAAGAACCTATATCCTAGAGTCATATTACCTAGGTTCATAACTTGGTTCCCCATCATTTATTGGTGAGATCTAAGTAAGTTGCTTCACTAATTTGGGTCTCAGTTTCTTCATCTGACAAATGGAGATAATAATAACACATACTTCATAGCGTTGCTGTAAAGATTCAATCAGACAACACGTGAAGGGCCTAACACAAAGCTGAATATATAACAAGGACTCAATAAATGTTGGTTGTTATAGTCATAATAATCACGATTACTATTTGGATACTTCCAGGGATCAGACATAATTCCTTTCACATAGAAGTTTCTCAAGAAATATTTGCTTAATGAGTACATAAACTAGTAAATTAGTCATGTACCAGTGTCTGAAATGTGTAATTTGGCTGAGTAAGTCATTTCTCAGGTGATACCTTAAACATTACACTTAGAGACTACATTACACCTTAAAATATTTCACATAGAGTGATCCATCTCTTCTTTGAAAAAAAATTTCCATGGTATTTGCATTTCAAATAGGCTATAAAATAGAGGGACTTTTTTTTCCCCCTCCCCAGAGTAGCCCAGGATAATCCTTTTGTTATTCTTCATAAAGTCCCAGTGAAAAGCTAGCAGTGGTTTTCTTTACTGCCTGGCAACTTGCAGTCTTTGCCACAGAAAGGCATATTAATTTTTAACACCAGATTTTATTCCCCAAAGCTATCAGTAATGGATGGGAGAAATCTGTTATCCATATGCCTGGCAGCAGTAAATATTATTGCTTAAAAATTTCTACCACAATTGAATAAGCATAAAGTGATAGTAGAAATGTTCAGCCTGAAATTCACAGATTAGAATCAGGCTGGAATAGAATGAAGTCCATCTAGTTCTTTCACAGAGGAAAATAGGCAAAACATATTGTAGTTCTTTGCTTGGGTAGATACTATTGCTCACCATTTCAGTTTGTTTTTTGTTTGTTTTTTTTTTAGCAAATTGTTTGTCCTTCTTGTCTAATGTGCCATAGTTATATATGACATACATAGATATATATGACATACATAGATCATTAGATAATTAGATCTTGCTGCTTTTCAAGAGGAATTAGTTTTGGTGCAAGAAAGTACTGTCCTAGTACTCTAACTGTGCTACCTTCATGATGCCATTGTTAGCATTATCAAAAACCTGTCATGAGCATTGTTGCCTGTTGTATTTCTCTCATTTACCCCATGAAAAAAATTTAAAATTCTTACTATTTCAATTATCATTTGTCTATCTTTGTCTTTAATTTAACAAAATGTATTAATTTTTCTCAGTTGGTTCCTTTTGATTACTTCCATTGTAACATTTTTACCTCCTTTATATTTCAAACTTTTATCTTTCCTGTTTTGTTAAATTATTTTTAATAGGCATATACTGATGGTTTTTGTCCCTTTTGATCTTAGTTTTCTAATTTTTATCTTTGTCTTCTTTTAATATCATTGGCTTACAGATAGAAGAGAATCTAGTTATAGAGACAGATCAAAAAGTTTTTACTTATGAATTGGTCATGGATGGAGGAGGGGGAAAAAGGACTTAGTATTGAAACCTGGCATTTTATCCAGAACAAATGGGTGAAAAAGGATGTGATTTATTGAGGTAGGAAAAACTGGGAGAGGAATATGTTGGAAGAGAAAATAAGAATTTCTTCTTCTATCACCTCCATACAAGAAAGATAATTTTTACCATCAAGGAATGGACATACTGTAAACCCAGATATTTAAAAATGAATACTTTTGGTTTTCTGAAGAAAAAAAAACCCTAAAAACTAGTTGGTCTATTTTTCTTTTTTCTTTTTCATTCTGTGGTGAATTGGTGAAAACTTTTGACATTCGGGAATACTTGCTGTAGATAATGGAATAGTTTATCTTTCAGGAAGACTTATTCTAGTACCTATAAAAAGAAAACATTTAAAAAGATTAAAGACAAACAGCTTAATTAGGATGGAAGCTGTGGAAGTCGATTACAATTGGGATATAGCAAGGAAGAAAGATGTCTACAATCTGTTGCTAGGGCAGTTGGAGGTTGAAGAAATTATGCCTGGTATACTGGGTGATTTCAGTAATGAAGACGAAAGAAACATTTGCTGTGAGTGATGTGGCTGAATATTCTTTTCTGAAGAAAAAGTGATAAACTGACGAGTTAAAAATGTCACCTAGCGGTTTTAATAGGTCTATTTAATCTTTCTGAGCTTCGGGGAAGGAGTCCTGCCTGCCAACCTATTGCCTTTACTTAATATTAATGTTTTATTTAGCATGGCTTTGGAGGCCACACCACCTAAAGGTTTAGTTGAAATAAAAGTAATAAAATAGAAACAACTTGTAAATGTATTGGGCATATGTTAAATATGGTCTTCCTCAACGGTGTCATGAGTTTTTTTTAAAAGCAAGAGTGTTGTCTTCTTTCTCATACATAAGTATCCTGTTATTAAGAACCCACACCTTGGAGACCAGCCAGCCTGTTGTCTCCTACCCTCAAGTTCTTCATTTGCAACGGGGGCAAGGATGTGCATGCCATAGGATTCTTCAGCGTATTTAATGGAATAATCTCTGTATCAAAGAGAAGGGATTCTACACGCGTTAGCTCTACCTTTCTTCTCCAGTTCCCCCAGTGGTGGGTTAGGGCGCTAAACATACACTCCGAATGATGTATGGCGCAGGATTGGAAGAGTTTTTTATTTTGAAATTCTGAAGACTTGGAACTCGTGGGTCTGTCAGCAGCTGTGAAGGGGAATGTCAACGTTGTCTTAATTTTTTAAAGAAAGCACCGACTAAACTACAAATCCCATATCGCTCCTCGACGTAGACGAGTCACGTGGTTTGTCAGGAATCCGGAAGTCTGGTCCGCTTGTCCAGTCACGCTGAGACGTTTAAGTAGTCGCGCCAGGCGGGCCAATCCTGGGGACGTTTGCTCGGCAGAGCCGCGCCGGGTCCCGCCTCCGCGCGCGGCGCTGACGCGTCGTTAGCGGATACGGCCGCCGGGGGGGGCGGGGCCAGAGGCCCGTTCTCCGCTTCGCGTCCGGCTCTGCTTTGCCGGCTCTCGCCTCCCGCTCCGCCATGGCTCCCAAAGGCGGCTCCAAGCAGCAGTCTGAGGAGGACCTGCTCCTGCAGGATTTCAGCCGCAACCTCTCGGCCAAGTCATCCGCGCTCTTCTTCGGGAACGCGTTCATCGTGTCCGCCATCCCCATCTGTGAGCGCTCGAGGCGAGGCGGGCGAGAAGGCCGCGGCGCGCCGGGCTGGGCGGGGACGTGGCGGGGCCGAGGCGAGGCGGCCTCAGGCGCTATCCTGGGCTCCAGGGAGCGCGTGGCCTCTTTGGGCCTCAGTGTTCTGGTCTGGGAGTGTCGTGGGCGGCTTCTCGGGAAGTCATTTCTGGAGCTTTTTAAAAGTGCGCAGGTCCCCGAGCTCCACCTCCGGAGGTTGTGATTCCTTGGTTTTAGGGTGGCGGCCCGGAATCTGTATTTAAACAGACACTCGAGTTAAGTACTTGTGCTGACGCTCCAGCATACCGCCTGCCGTCCTTTTCCGTGCCGCTGTCGTTGCGAAATCTTAAACTCGTATTATTACTTATTTTGGAGAAACTGATGAACTAGGCGAGAGAGACCCAGCAGGTAAACCACTGAATAAGAAGTGGATCTTTACATGAACTGCCCCACACTCTGAGCATCTTTTGCCTGGTTTGCAAAATGAGGGAAATGAACAAGTGCTAGGGTTTAGTGATTCCCTTTGTTTAGGCTTTTTGATATGCTACGAGATCAATTCTAGAGTTCTCACTTGGTTGGAAATTTGTTTGCAGACGTGGCCAATATCGCAGGAGCAGTGGGTTCCCGAATTTGAACCTCTTGCCTTTCACACTGCTGCACTGTTGCTGGACAGTCAAATCCAAATGTATTCTGTTTTGCCTTTATGAAAACCCAGCGTGCAGTTAATGTGGAATGAAGCTTTGGGGCTCACCGACCCGACAGAGTACTGCCTTGATTTCACATAACAGCCACGTCAGCAAGAAAACTATGGTTTGAGACTCTACGTGGCGTTTATGGAGTGGCCTGTATTTAGCATCCTAGTATCCCAATGAATGAAAAAAATTTTTTTTTTCTTGAATCGGAATCTCACCCTGTCGCTAAGGCTGGAGTGCAGTGGCACATTCACGGCCACTGCAGCCTCGACCTGCTGGGCTCAGAGGATCCTTCCTCCTCAGCTTCCCAAGTAACTGAACTACAGGGGGATGCTACCACGTCTGGCTTCTTTCTTTTTTAAAATTTATCGTAGAAACGAGGTCTTGCCATGTTGCCCAGGCTGGTCTCAAAACCCTGGGCTCAGGCAGTTCTCTTGCCTTGGCCTCCCAAAGTGCTGGGATTACAGACTTGAGCCACCATGCCTGGCCCCATGAATGGAATTTAAAGTCTGAGTTATGATTTTGTTGAGCCAGAGTTTTCATTTTAGAAGAAGCAGAAATCTCATCTGGACTAGTAATAGGAAGGTTATAGTTTCCAAGTGTTCTGAGCTTTTGCTGGCTGGCTTGCTCTGAAGATGCACAGATACTTTATTGGATTGTCTAAAGAATAACTTGGCATTTTACCAGGCTCAGCTGAAGTTAATTTAGCAGGCCTTTATTATGGGATAGTAATGTTTTGTTTCTTTTTGTGCCTTCTCCCTCCTTTATCTTAATTTAGGGTTATATTGGCGAATATGGCATATGGATCTTATTCAGTCTGCTGTTCTCTATAGCGTGATGACCCTAGTAAGCACATATCTGGTAGCCTTTGCATACAAGAATGTAAAATTTGTTCTCAAGCATAAGTAAGTATATTCTTAAGTGAAAGCATGTGTTCCATGTTTCATTTTATATGTGTTCTTAAAGATGTTTGTGTGTGTTGGTTTCAATAAGCATTAATTTGAGATACATATGAATATCTGTTTTGGGAAGGCACATTGATGCTAGGGGAAATTGTTAACTAACTGAAGCAGAGACAATGGTCAGTCTGACACTACTGTGGAAGTAGGTTTTGAGGGTGGAATTAGAACACTTAAACACTACTATCCTTGGTATGAAGGTCATCAGAAAAAACAAACCCACCAAATAAATTAACATTTCAGAACCTAGATGGAATTCTTTGTGGAGAGAATTGTTCTGGGCTCCTCATGTCCTGTTTTTGGAAGTGAAAGGAATGGTCTTTTTATTATTAAAGTCTTTTGACTTTTTTTTTTTTTTTTTTTTTTTGAGTTGGAGTGGCATGCTCACGGCCACCCTAGCATTACCCTGCTGGGCTCAGGCAATCCTTCTGCCTCAGCCTTCCAAGTAGCTGGAACTATAGGCATGCACTACCATGCCTGACTAATTTTTTGATGTATTGTAGAGACAGGGCCTCATCAAGTTGCCCAGACTGGTCTCGAATCCCTGAGCTCAGGCATCCTCTCACCTCGGCCTCCCAAAGTGCTGGGATTACAGGCTTGAGCCACCACACCCAGCCAAACTCTGTGACATTTTCAGTGCTATGTACATTTTTTTCCTTACAAGTGTCTAAAATGGTAAAGGATTACCATATTTCCTCTATTTTAAGATCACTCATTATAAAATATATAATTACTGTAATAATAGCTTTTGGGAGAAAACCCAAGCCTCACAATAATACATTTATACATGAGTTATAAATAATTAAATACTCTAGTTTCATAAAGGTTAAGATGGTGGGGGAATCTAGACTTAGGAAAGATGGTAACATTTCTGATTGTCATTGCCCTCATTGAAAGTGGTATAAATTAATGTTTAATTGGAAAAGACGACCTTGGATGTTGCTTTCATGCACACTTTGATAGTTGATTAGGGATAGCAGGATATTTTTCTGCTTCCTCAGTGGGGCCTTCTAGGTGCTATATTTCTTTGAAACTAATTTCTTAAAGGCAACTGGAATTTTGCTGAAACTCGAAGTGCCAGCATTCTTTGTATATGCATTGTCTTTTCATTTATATAGTTCTCACTCTAGTGTAGACACTTTTTACTTGAATTGCTATAAGTAATCTCCATCTGGTCTCTTAAAAGTTTAGGACCAACCCTGCCATGCTCTACATAAAGTATGTTACTCTATATCATCCTTACAAGTACCCCTATGAGGTGCAGGTATTATCCTTGTTTTATGAGGTGTTTTATGTGACATTAGTATTATCATCATTCTCTTAACAACTCGTCATGGCCTTCTTTTTTAATGTATTGAAGCCAAATTTCTTCAGACTCCTGGAACATAAGTCATCTGCCTCCTTCCTATGAGTCTAGCCTCATCTTTCAGAACTGGGCCTTAACCCTTCTGATGCAGCCTTTGTGTCATCCATTGAATGTGACTTGGACTCTCTCCCATTTGGGATTATTTTTCTTCCTTTCCATTCTTACATGTTGTTATTTTTTTATTTTTTATTTTGGGTTGGAGTCTCATTCTTGCCCAGGCTGGAGTGCGGTGGCATACTCACGGCCACCCCAGCGTCAACCTGCTGGGATCCGGCGATCTTTCTGCCTTAGCCTTTCAAGTAGCCAGGAACTATAGGCATGTGCTACCATGCCCAGCTAATTTTTGATTTATTGTAGAGACAGGTCTTGCCAAGTTGCCCGGGCTGGTCTTGAACCTGCGGGCTCAGGCAATCCACTCGCCTTGGCCTCCCAAAGTACTGGGATTATAGGCTGAGCCACCAAGCCCGGCCTGCACATCTGCTGTTTTGAGACCCAGAATTCTTTTCCAGAGAAATCCTTCCTGACTTTGATCATTTCTTTGCTTTGTTGTCCTTGTGTTAGACTCTTTCTGAGCACAAGGAATAGACATGTTGAGATGATCTCAGTTAAAAGGGATTTATTTTACAAAATGGATAGAAATGGCCTCAGTGACTGGAAGTGGCCTCAGCAGTTTCCCCACTGTCATTCTGGACACAAAAGAGCTCAGGTTTCATGACTGCAGTTGTGATGGACCAGCAGAGTAACTAGGTCATTTTTGTCATCTTTCTGCTTGGCAGTCCTTCTATCAATGGCCTTTCCAGGATTCAGCCCATCCTGGTTCTGCTGTTTGGGCTGTTCATTGTGAGTCCTGGTGACCTCTGGATAGGGAGGCTCTCAGAACTGGCATCTTGTTTCGCCTGTCTTTTGTGATCTCTGTGGAACTGAGTCCCTTTGAAACTTAGCATTTTTCATTTGTTCTGTGTATCATATTTCATTCATCTCTTTGTCATCAAAATCATGTTCTTTTTACCTTCTCATTTCTACTTTAGGCTTTTTGAAGGCACCTGTCATATCTTATAACTGTTAATGTACATTTAACTGAATAAAATTTCAGTGATATAATTTTTTTTTTAGTTATAGTTTTGGTTTAACATTAAGTATTGTTACTGACATCGAAACTCCTACAGATTTGCAAGATGGTTATGGCTCAAAGACCCAGCAAGATGCTGAGTGTGGGCAGTAGAAATGGGGGACAGTGGCTTCCCAGTCCACAGTTCTGGATGCTGGTCCCAGTTCTGCTGATCTTAAATGTGTGGTCTTGGGTATAGAGTTGACCTCTGTAGACTTCAGATTCTTGAGCTGTAAAATGGTGATACTAAGTGGTACCTCAGAGGTTGCTGAGGATAAGTGTGATCATATGTGTGACATATGATCTGGAACATAATGTTTATGTGCAGGGTTGGGGAGGTTGGGGTTAAGAACCTTGAATAATTTTTTTAAAAGGTGGCATACAAACATATTTTTATTTTGAGAAATTAAATAGTATCTTTAAAAAAATTCTGGAAATTTTCTGACATATTAATGTAAAAGAAGAAAAATTTCATTGATTTTGTGGGTTATCTCAGTTGGCTAAGTGCCAGGTTACTGGCATGACCTCTGTCCTGTTTTAGAGCATTCAGCACTGAGGGAGGTTTATTTTCTAAGGGAGGTGCAGTAAACCTACAGTGTGGCTGTGATGTCTCTGGTAGGTGAATGTAGAAATCTAGACCTAGCCGGGCTCCGTGGCTCAGCCTGTAATCCCACGCTTTGAGAGGCTGAGGTGAGTGGATTGCCTGAGCCTGCGGGTTCGAGACCTGCCTGGGCAACTTGGGGAGACCTCATCTCTACAATAAATCAAAAAATTAGCCAGGCATGGTAGTGCTCGCCTATAATTCTGGCTACTTGGAAGGCTGAGGCAGAAGGATCGCTGGAGCCCAGCAGGTCGAGGCTGCGGTAGCCACTCCCAGCCACCTCCCGCTCCCAGCCACCACACTCCAGTCTGGGCGACAGTGAGACTCCAACTCAAAAAAAAAATTAGAAATCTAGACCTAAAAGGGAAATTACTTAGTCATCTGGACTAGTGTTTTCAGAAAGATTTGTCATGTTTACAGTTGATTGACTGTTTGTCCTCAAGATGCATAGTGATACAACCAACTCTTGAAAATACAGTAGTTTAGTCCTACGACACTTGGGGAGTGTGCATGTATTTTTTACATTTACTTAAGGTTTCTGCTATGAAATGTGTCCATTTCTTTTTAGTTGGTCTTTTGTAGAAAAAAGTGGTCTGATGTTAAATTCCAGAAACACTTAGTGCCTGGCCTAGACAGGTTGAGAGATAAGAGTCTCTGTCTTAGGAGCCTAGTGCCTTAGGAATGAAGGAAGCATCTGGAAAGAGCTTTTAATAATAAAATGAGTCAGATGAAGTTGGATATTTGGAGTAAAAAATATGTTGTTGTGTCCTAAAGTGTCTGAAAAAAGACAGATGCCTGCCCCTTAGCTGCCTTTTTCTTTAGGTTTCAGAATTTATTTCCTCTTATTTATTTATTTTTTTTAGAAGAGCCATTTTTCCTCCCTCCAGTTATCAACTCATGTGGGTTAACAGTTAAAAAGTATAACTTTAGCCGGGCTCGGTGGCTCAGCCTGTAATCCTGCACCTTTGGGAGGCTGAGGTGAGTGGATTGCCTGAGCCCGCGGGTTCGAGACCCGCCTGGGCAGGCGAGACCTCATCTCTACAATAAATCAAAAAATCAGCCAGGCGTGGTAGCGCATGCCTATAATTCCGGCTACTCGGAAGGCTGAGGCGGAAGGATCGCCGGAGCCCAGCAGGTTGAGGCTGCGGTGGCCGGGAGCGGCCACTGCACTCCAGTCTGGGCGACAGAGTGAGACTCCAACTCAAAAAAAAAAAAAAAAAAGTATACCTTTGTAAATTGTTAAAAAATACGTTAGTTGAAGCTGACTAAAGGTTTTCTTTTTATCAATGTCAGTTCTAACTGGGATCTTGAGTGAGAGAGCTAAAGATGGAGACATTGGGTAAAACCATCTGTAATTTGTGCTTAATTTGTAACCCAGCAGCTCTTGTGGTTGAAGAAAGATTGAAAACTCCTGCCTTGAATGATCTTGGGCACGCCATCCTGACTTCTCTATAGTTTTCCAGGGTCCACTGACTAGAAATATGGTGTATTAATGAGGGATTGATGACTTGAATGTAGAGTGAACAGATTTCTAGCTCCTGTGTTCCATATCCTGTTAGGTTATTGTGTTAACTGTAGGTAATCTGTTAAATTTTGCTTGTGATCAGTTACTACTTTTTATTCTCTATGTATCTATTTACCAGTTTCTCTCATATTATGAAAAATATACCATGTTGAATTCACATTTAGTCTGTGGGAAGCTTTTTGTATTTTATCATAGTTTAAATTTTATCCTCTTACACTAGCAACCCCATCTGATAAAATTCATCTACTCATTTTTTCAATGAGAATATAGCTAATTTTTTTCTTCATCTGACTTGTCATTGAAGATTCTGAGTTCTTGAGTAACTTGCAGCCTTTTCTGGCTGATTCCATACTAAATTTTGGTACAACTTTTAAGGTAGTTGTTAATTTAACTAAAAGTAATAATAGTCAGTTCCTGATGTATTATTTCTTTTTTTTTTTTTTTTTTTTTGAGTTGGAGTCTCACTCTGTTGCCCAGACTGGAATGCAGAGGCTGCTCCTGGCCACCGCAGCCTTGACCTGCTGGGTTCC